CTGGCCGGGTAATTTATGTAGACACATAATTCACAGCGGGACACATTTGGCTAGAGAGTTCAGGCCGTGGCCCGAACCGAACCAAACCGAACCGAGCCGACCGAATGCGGTCGCCACTTAAATGCACCACTAAAAATAGCGCACCACACACACCACCGCACCACACACTCTCGTCCCCGCGTATGTCGATCATATGCTTATGCTAAAAATAAAAGGCCAGGGCCAGGGCCAGTCCGGGCCAAAGCCGAAACCAAAAGCCAAGCCTCGTGGCGACGACGGCATCGTTGCGCACATTTGATTTAAATTGAAGCCACAGCCGGGGAATAAGCCCGGCCAAAGCCAAGATCAGGGCCTGTATGTATGGTCTCTGGCCGCGGAGCTGACAATATCATTAAGTATTTATGACGCCGCTGCTGAGTATGGCCCGAGCTTAAGCCCTAATCAAATCTGGCCGCTCCACTTGCGTGCTTAGCTAGAAAAACTGTCGAGTTCGTTGCCTAAGTCTTTTGTTTTTGCGACCCGAATTCCTGAAATTCCTCCTAATTTATATCGGGCTTATCTTCCGTCCGACTTCCTGGGAAAAGAAGGAGCCTTGGCTTCGACTTTGCACAAAAGCAGGAAGCCCTAAGTGAGTCGTAAGTTGTGCCAGACTTCCTCCGGCTTCCTCTCTTCTGAGGTGCATCTTGACATGATTACGATGCAACCCACTGCAATGCCATTTGTTATCTTTATGCGCTGCCTGCTGTCACTCCAGGCGCACTTCCTCCTCGCTGTCGATGCGGACTCATGAATTGAGCCTTTGCATGCGCCAGTGACAAACGATGATGCTTCCGTGCTCATCTCTCCATCGGATCTTCATAGTCCCCGCCAGAATGGCATAAATTCTGAACAAGCATGGCTGGGAAAGAGCACGGCGGCGGCGATGGAGGTGGAGCTGCCGTAGTAACCCGCTGGCTTTCATTTCTAATTTTTGCATTTGGTCCACGGCTACCGAGTGAGCCAAGCGTCCAGCGTCGCGGTCCCTCGCCGGCGATGTTTTAGCCCATTTTATTGCTTTATTTGAGACTTTGGCAGCGCTTGTCAATTTTACAACTTTATAGAGGAGGGCTCTTATCGTTTGCATATTTATGCATGATCCCCGGCCGATAGCTGCAGCCGCAGCCACAGCCCAAACCCGCGATTCCTTTGCCGATTCCCGATCCTATGCTGTTCCCGAGCCCATTGGCCATGTCTCTTAATATTTTTGACATATTGGCCGGGGCCAGAGCCTTGGCCATAAGTCTGGGCCCTGGCCGAGAAGCCTCTTATTGTTGTTCGCTCCTTCCACAGAAATTTTCACAAAAAGGAAACGGCAACAACAACAACGAGAACAATCTGAAAAGAAACCCAACTCGAGTCGACTTGAGTCCGCGTTCAGTGTCTGCGTTGCCTTTTCGCATTTGAATTGCAAATCCTATTATGACTTGTGAAATTATAATTTTTCTAGTTGCCTGGCTGCGGTCTCCACCCCCCTGGCCCCAGCTCCAACTGCTGTCCCCGATCCTCTCCTGCATCCCCGGCTAGGTTCAAGTCCAGGGCCCCATGTCCATGTCCAGTCATAACCGCAGAAGGTTCAATAGCATGAATTATGCATATGCAGACGGTTTCGTTTCTTTTGGTTTCGTTTGGTTTGGTTTCGTTTGGTTTCGTTTCGTTTCGGGGGAATCACAAGCACACGCATCCACATGCACTTAGTTATGATAACGTTGCACATTTCTGACTCCTCAGACTCAGGCTCAGCCTCAGCCTCAGACTCCTAGACAGAAACTGAGACGGGGACGCGGCCCGGACTGCAGCTCTTCATATTTGTTTTGGGCCAGCAACAACGCCCCGAAAAGATCAGCATCCGCAGGAGCAGGGAGAGAAAAATATTGTAAGAAGGTATAGAGATCATTTAAGGATTGTTAAAGAAGGGTTTTAGAGGTTGGGAAAATAATTTTACGTACTTAAAAAAATATTTAATATAAATGCCTTTTATGGAGTTAAGATTTAAATCATTTGCCTTATCTTAACTGCATTTATTTATATAAAAAATCTACAACAAATATACATATGTATAAAAATTCTGTAAATATCATTTCTCATAAATTTTTCTCAGTGCTGAGCGTATGCTTTATGCGTAGCAGCTGCTAGCATCACAGATGGAGAGATGGAGACGACTCCGACGACGCCCCCTCTTTTGGGCTGCTACCGCAAAACCCAGGCCGCAGTCGGAGCTGGGCCTGCGCCCTGAGATCTCCAGCCTGGTGCTATTGCCAACAACTGGTGCTGGAGCTAAGCTGCGGCTGGCCTCGCTGACAGAACAAAGAAGTCGTTCATTTGTAATTGTTGTTCCTGTTGCTGTTTGGCTGTTTCCTTTGCTGTGTTGCTGTTGCAAAAAGGGCAGCGCAGACATGGCCAAGGATTACCAAGGCAACGCACATCCCCATGCCCATATACCCATGCCCGAACCCAAACCCAAACCCAAAGCTAAAGGCATTCCCAAACCCAAAGCAAGAGCTGCTGCTGCTATACACAAAACCATCTGTAGACCGTACATTTGTTGAGGCAGTCAAACTGCACAGGCTTGCATATCTTTTATGACTTTTGACTTGACTTTGACTTTGCCTCCTTAAACGCCCTGGCCGCCTCGAAGTTGAATGACCCCAATGACTTGACTCCAAAAAAAAAAAAAAGCCACGGTCAAGGCTGTTACTGTTAAAGGTAACTGGGATGGAAGAAGCTTGGGGATTTGTATTTCTTTAATATAAAATATAAAACCTTTTTAAGTTTTTTTTCTTTTATCAAACCAAACAGATGGCTGCAATCAATGCTAAGAATTTATCAAGCTCAGCAGTCCCCCTAAGTCTATGCAAACAATTCCCCTTTGTAATCTCTTTATTTCTAATGCCCCTCTGAATTGGTACCACTTGGCCATTCCCAGGCAATTATGGATTTCTAGACCTGAAACCACTTGGCTAGATGGCGTGGGCTACTGCAATTTCGTCTTCGTTGGGCAGCACAAATTAGATGTCGGCGGACAACTCAACTTGAACTTGGTCAACAGCAAAGACGCTTGCTTGTCAGAGGCTCGGGCTGCTCGTGTGTTGGAGTAGAATCTGCCGGGAAGTTGTTTGACATTACCCCAATGCCAGCGTAAATTTTCAAATTAGCAGCAGACAACAAAAGAATTATATATGCATTATATAAGCCAAACGAGCTAACGCAAATGGGCAGAGAGACCAAGCGAGCCACAGCCAAAGTCAAATCAATTTGTTCCACTCCAGTCCGGGCCCCAAAGGGAAGACGGAAATGCTAGGCGATCCTCGAAGGAGCCGTAGCCTCTGTTTTCTCATCATTAACATTGTCCCTGGCCAAATCCGCGTATGCAGATGAGGCTAAGCCCCCAACGTGCCCTGGCCAACAGCCGAAACATGCGTACTTACGTCTCTGACTATTTGTTTCACGAATTCGCGGCGCATTTTACTTGGAAAATAAACAAGGAGATGTGTCCATCAAGGGCTAGAAGAAGTGTGGGTACTCTTTAAAAATTAAATTTTAAAAAGAAATTTAAATAAATAAAAATAAAAAGCTAAAAAATATATGCTCCATTTGTGCTATATTTATTTTAAATTTATATTTTTATAACCCAACGTGAATAGCATTTCATTTATATCCCACCTATCCGTAGTGTGCTCGAGCTCTAACCAGCAGTGGCATTCTGTCCATCGGTCCAAACAAGGCAAAAGGCATGTCCATCCTTCCTATCGTAACAAGAGCAATTTGTTCTAATGCGCCGTGGCAGCAGCAGCTGCTGAAGCTGCTGCGGCCAAAGCTGGAGCTCAAGGAGCTGCAGCTGGAGTGTCTGACTTGCAGTTGCACATGCAGGCGGAGGATGAGGAAGTGGCTGTGTGCCAGTGGCAGGGGAAGTTGGCTGAGATTGCAGAAAGGGCAGCCACTGAACACGCAATGGCCAGAACAAATGTAGACATTAAGCTGCTGCTGCCCAGGCCAAGGGATCGGGATCAAGATCGGGGGGAATAGAGGATGGGGGCGATACTCTGGCGGAGATTACAGACGCGGCTTCAGGTGACACGCAATGGCCAGAGCCAAAGCCTAAACGTGCCTATCGTAAAATCATAACTATATTTGATGCATAAAAATTTACATACATCTCCGGGTGAAACAAATTGCCTCCTTCCCCCGCCCAAAGCATTTGAGTCGCCTGAGTTGACACTAACGGGCGCGTCAATAAATTCGCCGAGGAAATTTCATTAATTGCTCTGGGGCGGGTGGGTGCTGGCAGTGGCAGCGGGCAGGTGCCGCTGCGGATGCCAGCGCTGCTCATGCAGTGCGCTCGCTGTTTGCCATAAAAAATATTTGCCGCCTTAATGTGAGTGGCTTATAAATTTGTGCACAAACCCAGACCATTTATGGCCATCGGGCAGGGACCCATGGGGCATACTTGTACCTAACTGTTTATGTGGTTAGATGCCAGCCCGCTTGGGTGTGTCTTGGTGTGTGTGTGTGTGTGGCACGATGAGGCTTTGTTTGGCTGCATTCAAATATAGAATGCAGCGCCCAAGCCGCACATCACATGAGATTCTTCTGCTGCAGTCTTCCGCCTTCAGGGTCAGAAGCTCACGGGGTGCGTTACGAAAGCCACCAAGTGGTTGACAAATTCCAAGGCAAGAACTCAAAAATTATATATCAAAAATTTTCTAGCAATATAGTAAGACTTACAAATTGCATTGCAAAAACTCAAATATATTAAAAGCATTCTCATAATATTTATTTGATTATGATTTGCATACAATTTAGACTGAAACTAAATAAATAAAAATCCTTTATAAAAATTGATCTTGTTCCTAAAAAGTCTTTTGAAAAATGTAGTAAAAATAATTTTCCCATTACCCCAGTTTCATTTTTGTTGTATTAATTTTTATTTTACTCATAACTCTTATTTGCATTCCCTGGTAACACTTATACAATTGTTTATTTATGCTTTAATTTTGATTTGCATTCCATTTATTTGCTTGTACACTTTGGATTTGCACTCTTTACATAATTTGCTTGTACACTTTTTCAAGTTAACCTAAGGGGGAAGCTAAAGAGGAAGGAAAAATAGCAAAGCAAACTAAATGCATTAAGCTTATTCGTTATTTGCATGGCCACAAAAAATTAAATTGTACTTGAGCTGTTATCTTCTGCTCTGGCAAGACTAAAAATAGATAGAATATATGAGGGATCAGTACGATCGGGTTTAAACATAATTATTACATAAATTATTGCATCAAAACAAGGGCTTAACTCTAAATATATATATGTATATAAAACTAGATAGAAATATATTTTTCAAAATAACTTTCTTTTTGGTTGCAGCAAAATTGGAACTAAAGTTGGTTCAGTACTACAAGGTAAACATCTTTGGGATAAATTATTTGGTCGGTTTTCGTTCTACGACACTTTGGGTTGAACTAAACACTAAGCTAAATGGCAAGAACTAGTTCTACAAATCCTTCTATGGCACAATTGCATTTTCCGTTGGCTGGCAACTTCCTGGCTTCTACTTCTGCTTCATATACATGGTGGCTATCTTGTCGAGAATGGTGTCGATGGACAGCAGCTCCTCGCTGAACTTTTTCATTGTGGGCGCCGGCACAATCCACTTGAGGAACTCCTCCACATTCAGACGGAGCCGGGCCAGGGGCGTCAGCTTGGCGTCGTCATGCGTGGGCCTTTGGGCAAGCTTTAAAGATGCAATGATCACATTGTCTATGAGACGCTTCTCGTAGCCCAACTGGCGTAACTTCTGCGCTGAGCTTATTTTTTTCAAAACCACGGCTATATTGAAGCGCATGGTGGAAAGGGCGGCCGTATCTACGGATTGGTTATCGCTGGCCTCGTCCCCGCCCGCGGGACACTTGGCACACTGCTCCGAATGCGCCTGTAGCTCCACCTTGATCTTGAAGAACTCGTGGCAGCCCTCGCACATGTACGGCTTCTGCTGCTTGTGGATCTTCTTCATGTGGTTCTTCAGATGCGCCAGCTGGGAGAAGGCCACCTCATCCTCGCACAGCTGGCAGCGAAAGGGTTTCTCGCCCGTGTGCTTGCGGATGTGTAGCTTTAATACGCTGGAGTGGGCAAAGGTCTGATGGCAAATCTATGCGGGAAAGATATAAACTTAATAGATATTCCCGGGAGGGTGATGGCTCCTTTAACTCACCCGACACTGGTAGGGCCGCTCGCCCGTATGCATCCGCATGTGAACATTGTACTGACTCTTCTGGGTAAAGTATGAGTTGCACACCTCGCAGACATGCGTCTTCACCGCCGCATGCTTCTGCATGTGAGTGGCCAGATCCTCGTCCGGCTCAATGGTCTTGTGACAGATTTCGCACTCAAACTGGGTCAGTTTATGGTGCTCCTGGTTGATATGGGCTCGCAGGGCCAACTCATTGGCAAACTGGCTCTCGCAGATGCTGCACCGGTGCTCCATGCCCTGTTCGTGGCGCTCCATGTGAACCCGCAGATTGGCGTTGGTCGAAAAGCTGGCCGAGCACTTGGTGCAGTTAAACTGCTGGATGCTGGTCTTGTGATGCGACACCATGTGCTGCTGGAGCTGTTAGAAAAAGTATTAAAAATATTAATATATTTTGTTGTAAATTTTTTATTAGCAAGCCTTCTCACTCACCTGACCTCCCCTGGCGAATTTCTTGTCGCACAGGGCGCAAGGATACGGCTTCTCACCGGAGTGGAGTCGCATATGCAGGCGCAGGCGCTCCTTTAGGGCAAACGACTTGGGACACTGCGAACAGGAAAACTGTTTTCGGTGCTCGTGGGCGGTGGTGATGTGGTTCTTGAGATTCACCGCCTGGCGGTAGCTCTTCCCGCAGTCCTTACACTTGTGGGGCCTTTCGTCCGAGTGGATGAGCATGTGGCGCTGTAGATCTGTCTTGCCGCCAAACTCCTTGGAACAGTGGCTGCAAATGTGATGCTTTCGCTTTCCTGTTTCAACTTTGCGTGGGGACTTCTTCGGCGGTGGCTGCACATAGTCGTCGTCCTTGGTGTCCTGATCTTCATCGTCTTCGGTGCAGGCATCTCGCAGACTGGCCAAGCTGCTCTTCCGCCTCTTTATGGAGGTGGGTGTTATGGGCGAAGAATCTCGTGCTGCAGGCGGTGAGGATAGTGAGATGCCACTGTCCGTGAGCAGGGATACCGCATCCTCCTTGGACAAGCTGCGACGACTGCGTACCATTTCGTTTTCGTTTTGTTTTTTTTTATTACTTAGTTTTTGTAACTTTTGGTTATTTTTCAGGGGCCTTCCCTTGGAGACACCGGCACCAGCTCGATCTTTACTTCTAGGGTTAATGTTCTACGTAATTTTTGGTTTTTATAGTCTTGGTTTTTGGTTTTTTCTACTTTAAAATGATAGTTCCCATTCACCTTTGGTTTGGATTAGTTTAGTTGGGCTGCAAAAGAGTTAAGAACGGTTATATTTCTCCGCTCGCAATGCGCCGCCACGTTCCGGAGCGGAGCGGTCGCACAGAGAGACAATCAAAAACATAGACAGAAAATGTGTAGTGACAGTAGGTGAAGCCGAAACAGACGCAGAAGGAGAAGGAGAAAACAGAACAGAGCCTCCAGCTGTGTCAACAGTGATAAGAGCCTACATATGCACGGAGAAAATATAAACCAAAATGGTTTAGTATTTAAATATAGAGTTTTGATATATCAAAAGGGAAGAATATTTACATTCATACATATTTAATGGGTAATATTATGAACACTTGAATTCATAACTATTCAATTTCAAATTATTTATCAGGATTGCCTCAAAAGTTGTGCAAATAAAATATATAAAAATTTAATAATTAATTTAATGCCCAATTTGAATTGCAGTGTAGGAAGTTAGCTGACTGGATTTGCTAAGAATTTGATCACGCTATCATTTGGCATTTCCAGTGAACGCAAGCTCTCTGCGTTTTCCCAGTTTGTTTTCTCAATCTTTCGTTTGTGTTGGACTGGGACGGGGCTAGCAGCTGATAAGATCCCACGGAAGGCAATAACTGATAAGCAGTCAGACTATACGATAAGACACACACACACAAACACTCTGGCAGAGATACCGAGACTAGAAGCTATAGATACGATATATTTTTAGCCGGGGCCACCTGAACGATGAGCGATGTCGTCTGTTCCCGCTGGAAGCGGAGTTTCCAATGAAAGCGAGCGACGAGCACACAAAGGAAATGGAAATGCAGCTAGAAGGTGGCGAGACGATGACCCTGGGCGACGACGATGAACATCTGGCAAACAGATTGGGTACCCTACGGATTGTCGTCGCCCGCCCCCTGGCCCGGCGCAGGGTTAATGGTTCATTAGAGCCGCACCCGCACCCGCAGAAGCGGAAAACCGAAACTCAGCTCACTTGAAAGCAGCACACAAAACCCTCGGCTGGGCCCAGCCAAACTGTTGAAAAAGCGAATTAAAGCTAGAATCCAGAGCTGGAAATTGAAACTGAAAGAGAACGGGGCAAAAAGCACGAACGACAGCGAAAATCGCACACAAAAAGCGAAAATAAAGAAGTGAATACATAACAGCAGTTTTGTAATGCTAAATAGGAGCGGGGAGTAATGGGTTGCACGGGGGGTGTCCGCGGCAGGGAACAGGGGGATTGCTGCTGCCGTTGAAGTCTTTTGTATTTCGCATACAAAACTTGACGACAGTTTTGGGGGTCGCACCACCACCACCACCGAGCAGGGGATTTGTTTTTGTTAGTAATTAAAACCAGCACCGCTACCGAATTAATTCAAATTGTTCTATACATACAAATGCAAATGCTACTTGCAGTCGGCGGGAGCTCCTCCGCCGTGCCCATCACCGAAAACCAATTGGCCATGGACTTACCCTAGCAGGCATTGCAGGACTCGCTATGGCCTTCAATCTGCAGGAATCGGACGCTTCCCCCCGCATCGGACACACCTTGAGACCGCTGCTCACATTCTGCGGCCAGCAATGTATTTGGCTCATTTGTTTATAATTTCTACGCCCCCTCGCTGTGTGTACATACTTTTTGCACTTTGCCAGCTACCAGTTCGCCCAGGTTCGTCCTGGTTTTTCCATCCTGCGGGCTCGTAGGAGGTGTATCCTAAGATATTAATTGCTCAACTGTTCCGAAAAATGTTTATATTTTCTTAAGCAAAATAAATAAGATTTTACGGTGGTTTTTTCGTTGTTGTTCTTAATCTTAGGGATGTGTGAGCACTGCAGCACGGTCACACCGCAAATTCTTTTTCGACACGACTAGAGGTGGGAACGTGACTCAATTAATTCTTTAAGGGATGGTAAATAATTAAGTGGGAATGTTAAATATAGTTTATTTAATACCAAATTGGTGTAATAATCGCAAAAAACATAAATTAAACAATAATAATAAATAGGTATATTTTTAGAATAATTTTATTATTAATAATTTTATCAACAGATTCATTTATAAAATCTAAATGCTCTACATATAATCTCTATATATCTCTCTATATTCTGTATATAAATAACAGCAACGAAATACTCTTACTTGTTTAAGGAACTGATAACTTTTGATAATTTAAAATAATCACGAAACGTGAACAATTCACGACTTCTAGCTGAGTGCGACCACTTTTCAACACTACTTTTGCAAATAGGTGGCAGCTCTGTAAGCCGCTAGCGAGATCCGGCAGCACTGCATTAAAAACACGCGCAAGTGAAATTAAACAAATGGAAAACAGCAGCTAACAACGAATTTTTCCTATATTTTACACTTAAAACCAACTTATACATAAGGTTGGGGCGTCACAGACCACCGCACTACCTCAAAACAAACAGGACTTGATAAATATAAAGCCCAAACCCGACACAAGGTAAGCAATGAAAATCTGGCGCTCCGCTGACTCGATACTGATTTCAAAATAACCACTAATATTACTTGATGTAGCTACCATGGCTGGCGTACTCTTTGAGGATATATTTAACGTGAAGGACATGGACCCGGAGGGCAAGAAGTTCGACCGAGTGTCCCGCCTGCATTGCGAATCCGAGTCGTTCAAGATGGACCTCATCCTGGACATCAACTCGTGGCTGTACCCCATGGAGCTGGGCGACAAGTTTCGCCTGGTGCTGGCCACGACGCTGCGCGAGGACGGCTGTCCCGACAGTGGCGAGTACAATCCCATGGAGCACGAAGGCACGCGGGCGGACAGCTTCGAGTATGTGATGTACGGCAAGATCTACAGGATCGAGGGCGATGAGGCGCATAATGAGGCGTCCCGGCTCTCTGCTTACGTCTCCTTCGGCGGCCTGCTGATGCGACTGCAGGGAGACGCCAATAACCTGCACGGTTTCGAGGTGGATCAGCATATGTACCTGCTGATGAAGCGGCTGGCCTTCTAAATTTCCCATCTATACTTATTTCTGTTCGCAAATTAGACATAAACAACAACAAACTTTATTTACAGTGTATGTGTAACATTGGGTCACTCTGCTTCGGGTCAGAGTGGTGAATGATGTGCGGTCTAGTGCCTGGCAGGGCGCCTACGCAGAGGAGCATTCACTACCAGGCGAGATGGCTGCGGTCGGAAGGGAATGCGACGCTCCACGAAAGGCAAGCCCAGCGAAGTCGGTTGGAAGACGGCATTTCCCTTGTTAATCGCGTTGACAATCTTGGCGGGCTTGGGCTGAGGACGAGCAGTAAGCTTGGCAGGACGACGCTGAGGTGTCAGCAAAACTGGACGCTGCGGCCGGAAGGTGATGAAGCGACTGAGCAGAGGCAGAACATACTGAGCCTGTGGGGGTAATGGCAGACTGGCCAAATCTATGATGGCTGCACTCTGGGGCTGGCCGTTGGCATTGTCATCGTTGGCAGGCTGATCGGGAGGTCCGTATGTCTGATCTGGCGGCCCGTAGGTTTGATCAGGAGGTCCATAAACCTGATCCGGAGGTCCATAGACCTCAGCTGGCTCCTCTACGACTGGCGGGGGTCCATAGGTATCTGCTGGAGGTCCATACGTCTCATCTGGTTGCGGAAATTCCACGGCCTCCTCTGTGGGCAGCTCGAATGGTGGATCAGGCACCAGGCCAGCTGGCGGATAGGGTGCCTGCTCCTGCCTCTGCAGGATCAGCGGCAGGGATCTACCTCTCGCGGGTCCCGGGAATCTTAATTGAGCGCCTTCACTTCCATTTAGGCACAAGATCCCGCAAATGGCAAGGGTGACCAGAGAACCAGTTAGATAACCAAACATTTTGCTGTCCCAGCGTGAACTGCTGCATGTCGTGGCCCAATGACGCCTATAAATACCCACTGGAGGTGGCCTTGGGGACTGCCCAATCAATGGGCCCAAAGTGCTGCCGAGGCCGATGACTTATACGGCAGGCCCAAAAGTTACGTGCCCATTGCAGTGATGACTAAAACAGGTGTAACTCATAGATGTTATGAAAAGGTTGGTATATTTCGGTGGCACAAATTTTATAAACACCCAATTTGTGATAATAAATTGGGAAATTTCTAAAAATCTTTTATTTTAAAAATTAATGAATAGCCGGAAGTTAAATTTAATTTGTATAATTTGTTTCCTTGGATTCTACCAACTGCGACGCAGGATCAGTCGCTGGGGAACAGGCAACTGGCGGCGACGACCTTGCGGGAAACGCTGGTAAAGGCGAGCCGATTGGTCAACCGGGGGCTGTGGTCGGTCAAGACTGGTGGCCAGGACAATGACAGTGCCATCCTCGGTCACCTCCAGCTGGGGCTCATCCTCCTCAGCGTCCTCGTCAGAGGGCTGCAGCTTGGCATCTACTGGCTCATCCTCAGCAGCGGCCGGGATGTCATCGGTCTCGATGGGATTCTCGGGCTGTGCCTCCGGCTCGGGCTCTGGAGCAGGCACAAAATCGGCCTCTGGTGGGCCATAGGTGTTATCTGGTGGGCCATAAGTATTGTCCGGGGGTCCATAGGTGTTATCCGGGGGTCCGTAGGTGTTGTCTGGCGGCAGGTAAGTATTTTCCGGCTTGGCTGTCGAGCTGGGCAGATCAAAGGGAACGCTGGGCGTGATTCCTGCCTCTGGGTAACCAGTGGGTGCCGGACTGGCTGGGGCCTCCACCTGACGGGCAACGAATCTGCGGCGCAGCGGCTCCGCCGTGCTCAGAGCCACCAGGCTCAGGACAAGAACAAGAGCAGTTGTAGAGCTGGCTTTGATCATTTTGGCGACTGAAGGGCTTCTGTTCTGATTTCTCCATCCGACCCGGCTTATTTATAGTCCCCAGTTGCCGGATCGAGTTCTGTTATAATTTATGCTCGTCACTTTCAGTTTTCAGGCTCTTGTTCCCGGTAAAACTTTGATTATGTTGCGCTGATCGGCGGCGATGCGCGGCTCCAGCTTAATACCCGATACGTGACCCTTTTTTGAAATTATAAAGCCAATGCTATCAGTTCGCATAGGCTTACCCTTCCCTTTCCTCGGAGAACCCATGGAATCCATTCATTAACACTCTTAACGCTTGGGGCTTTGGGGTCGCTCTGCACATTTGATTTTGTTTGTTTTGGGCTTTCGATTTCGGGTTCTTGGCTGTTCATAATTTAGTCGTTTGATGAATTTTGAATTCATGAGAAGTGAAATAGGCTATGCAAATGTCCACCCAGAATGTCGGCGAATGGGCACGTCCCAGTGTCAGTCCCCAGTCATGGGCATACATATTCATACGAGTAGTTTGTTTCAAGGTTAACGAAAATATTAATGTGTCAAGCGGTTGAATTGTAATATAGAAAATATAATTATTAACTTTTAACTTAGTTGTTTTATTGCCAGATACATTTTTAAGCAATCTACAAGACAAGTGATATATGTAGATATTAGAATTAAGTCCTTATTTAACATCTCCATTAATGGAATAACTAAGTGTCGGTAGGATCATGAAAAACCATCTTTGTTAAATATACGAGATGCTTTCATCGTGAGAACAGGACACTTTGTGGCAGTTATTTGTGGCAGTCGCTCATTCGCAAGACACAGATAGCAAATTCATTTCTGAAATAGAACCGTACTCTCAATAATATTGGTCGGTTGTTAGCTTATAAGGTATATTTTACTCAGATAGGGCAAATGGCAATGAATATTTCCCTTTGGCCAATTAAAGCTACTGCAAGATGGTTTATTTAAATGGTTTAATTAAATAAAAGCAACTTTTTACGCATGATAAATGAAAATATGAATTTGATAAGCCTGTATTGCGAAAAGGCACGATTGGGACAACATCATAGTGAAAATTTTTCGCCTTTCCATTTCGATTACCATGTTTTGCTTTGTGCGCTGACAGCATGGCTTTAACTAGCAAATGTATATCAAATAAAGAGACCTCTAAGGAGGCTTTCTTAAATATTGACCGCCATCCAATTTCAAAGTTTAAATTTTAAATTCAAAATATTCAACAAGAAGCGTTATTTATTTAGCAACAAGAAAATTAATGTATCTTAAAGGCTCGATTCAATTCGCTTCATAAGCAACTCTTACTAGCCGTCAAAGCCTTAAAAAAAAACCATCTTAAATGGTATAGACCAGCACCGGCCTAGAGCGAATAATCTGGGCAGAACGGAGCTTCTCCGAAACGGGACGACGACTGCGCAGGCGCCCATTACGTGGCTGAATCAGACTGGCCGGAATGGGCTCCGCGGCGGGGTTATCCTCAACAGGAGCCTGGTCCACCGCAACAGAATCAGCCGGTGGGCCATAGGTGTTATCCGGCTCCGCAGGAGGTCCATAGGTATTGTCTGGCTCCGCTGGAGGTCCGTAGGTCAGGTCTGGCTGAGCCTCCGTCTCCGTGGGCAGATCAAAGGGCACCTCAGGTGTAACTCCTGCTGGGGGATAAGGAGCCGAGGCCGGAGTAGGCGCTATATCTGCGGCGGGATCAGCCGGAGCAGCTGCATCCACAGGAGCTTGCTCCTGACGAGCAAATTGGAAGCGCGAGGATCGACTGCGGAATCGGGCCGGTTCCGCCAGGGAAACGGCGGCGAAGGCAGCGATCAGGAGCAAGGAGCTGGTGAACTTGTAGGCCATGTTGAGCTGATGTTGAGTTGTCTTAGAATGTTGTCAATCACAGGCAGCCACCGGGTTTTTATACACCGAATTTTTTGGCCACTCATATTTGGCACATCGAGGGACACCCTTTCGACGGCCTATGAACGTGACAATATTTAGTCAAGGGCCCATGTCTAAGCCATAACCATTGGTCGTTAATTATAAGCCACGGGTACTTAACTTTGACACTTAACTTGGCCCCACGGCGGATGGGCAATGGGGTGGACCAGTGGGGGGTTTTATGAGGCTGAAATTAGGAATTTTAGAAAAAATCTCACAATTTGGTGATTGGAAATCTGGTATAATCTACATATAAGCTTTCTATTTAAAAAATAAAAATATATTTATTACCAAAACTGAAAATGTGTAGAAAAAAAATACTCATACGCCATGAACACCCATGAACTTTCCTTAGTAAATAGGAATTTATGTCATTAAAAAGAGGACCAGCAGTTATCATTCCTTAAAGCTTATAAAACAGCTGAAGGATATCTAGGCTACTGGTTTGCAAAAGAAATAAATAATCAACGGCACCACTGCGTATGAGTAATATTTATAGAACATGCAGCTTAAAAATACAATGCAAGGTAATTTCTTCTCAAAAACATGCCACCTAAGGCTACCTTAAAAAGTAGCTATGTAAATAGACTTAAGGTCCACCCAAATACGCACTTGAACAACCAACAAGTGATAGAGTTTTGATAGCACTTTAAATTCCACTCCACTGTGCGGCGCCTGCTTGACATACGCATCGCTGTCTTTCAAAGCGCTTGCGATGGCGCTCTGCTTAAAATGCACGGCGTCGCTGGGTCTCGGTCTAGAATCGCTGACCACCGCGTCCGTCGATCAGCAGGGCCACCGCCGGCGGCAGCGGGTATAAAAGTTAAAGCTCCATATACGATGGACAACAAAGCAGCACTGCAAGTCACACGATCATGGCACGTCATCAGCTCCTAGCATCCCTGTCTCTCCTTCTGGCCATCTGGGCCGTTAGCTGTACGGCGGAGGCACCGCTCCGGCGAAATGTACGCCTTGGACGCCTGCGTCTGCGTCCGGTAACCTTTGCTCGGCAACAGGTTGCCCCAACGCCCTATCCCTCGGCGGCGGAACTAAAGCCTGCGGCTGAGGAGCCCGCTCTCACTTATGGACCCCCTGAGGACTCCGATGTAGAAGCCCAGGCCGCTTTGCCTGCGGAGCAGGAGCCACCGGTAGACAATTTTGAGCCCAGCCCCGAAACCAAAGAGGTGGACACCGAGGAGAGCTCTCTGGAGGTAACCACGCCCGGCTCCACCCTTGCCCGCCTGCGCAGCCGCCAGAGACTGGCCAAGTTGCAGCTGGCCAAGCCAAAGCGTCAGCGTCAGCGCATCGCTCGCCTGGAAGAGCTGCCAGTGGATGAGGCAGTGGCTCCTGTGGCCCCAGTAGCTGCAGTTGCACCGGTTTCTTCTGTGGCTGCTGTTGCTCCCGTTCCGGCTGCAGTTCCCCAGTTCTACTACGTGGGTGCTGGCCAGCAGCCCTATTACCTAGCCTACAGCGCTGCTCCCCAGCAGCTGGGCTGGTAAACTATAGCCAAATTATGCCAATTGTTACTCAGATCGCCTAGAACTTGTTTTTCTTGTTTGAAATAAATATAATATATATATGGTAATGGAAACACTTGTATATGATTTAATTTTGGGTGTAATTAGAAAGATGGTTGTACAATTAAAAATCGCTCAAACTTGAAATAATGACAGGTATTTTTTACCAAAATATTTGTTTAAAAATAAAATTGCCTTTTTAAAGTGAATATTTTATCAGAATAATAGTTCCTTTTCTTTCTTAAAAAGGCATTGAAATCAATTTGCACAATGTTCCACAACTTGTGGTGTTTTCATCGCTTTGCTCCGAACCCAACAACACACACGGCCAAGAGTTTTCCATTCACCACCAACTTATTGCGAATCATTGGCCTTTAACAATAGCTTAGCACAGGACCCTTTGTGGAGCCGCCATCTCCCTACTGCGGATCCCTTGCCGCTCGTATGCATAGTATCCCTGTCCCTCGTCGCATGTAAATGGCTCCGGCAGCGTTTGAAGGGCTTCTTGTTCGCCTCGTCTTAGTGCACATTTTGCCGGGCATTTTATGGCCTTTTGTGCAACTTTGTTTCCCTTTTCCAATGCATTTTTAATGCTTTATTTTATTTTAAGCCGAAGTGGCTGGCCCCCGATTGAAAGGGCTCTCTCTTAAATGTTTTGCTAAGCTGTTGAATGTTTCGACAGTTCATCATAAGTGTTTAGTTCGTGAGTTAAAAGCTCCCAACTATCCACCTATGGATGCTGCCAACTTTATTACCCTTAAAAAAAAACAGATATAATTATGCAAACTTACGACAACCACTTTGCAATTCAAATGGCGAATGTGGCTTATTTTCATAACGTTAATCACCGAGCTTTCAATAAATTCTCTTCCAATTAACTAACTGAAATAGACAGCTTAATTGGTCGCGCTCAAAGTCTCTGTTGGGAATCGTTAATCACGTTCTCATTTAAGGCACAAAGAGTAGCAGATTATTCTGGCTTATCAGTTTTGAGTGGATTCCCCCGAGACAAAGGTTATCTCAGCCCATGAAAAACACACCGTTCGCTTCCAAAAATAAAATATTTAAATAAATAATAGCTGTACATTAAGGTTGGGATTGGGATTTCCGAGAATTCCCATTCAAGTTCTTAGCCGCCGAAGAAAGATCCTCGCGTCTCCAAGGCGCCCACATTGGGTCTCGAGCTATTCCGGAGTGCCTCGATGGCCTGATAGTTGACGAACCAGAAGGGCTGGTTCTCCACGGGCAGGGAACTCAGATGGTTCACCCACTCCTGATCCCCGTGGGCATCGATGGGGAGTCTGCTGGGAGTCGCGGTGCTTCCAATGGTGGTGACTGGATTTGGAGAGGTGGCGAAGGGAGTGCTGGCGAGGGGAATGTTGGCGGAGGGAACGCTGGGAACGAGAATGCTGGCGGCAGAATTGATTGCGACTGGAGTGCTAACACTAAAGGTGGGACTAGTAGCCGGAATCGCTGATCCCGCTGTTGAGCTCGAATCTGGTGCTCCAAAACGGTTGGCCACATCGGGCGTAGCTGAGGGAGCTGGCTGACTCAAGCTCGAATCGAATCCACCGGTGGGCAGTACTAGAGGAACTCCCATGGGCGGCCTCTGCGCAGCTCCGAAGGGCAGGTTGACCAGGGCAGGCTGCTGCGAACTAGAGGGCTCTCCGAACCTGGTGTTTATGTCCACTCCGGTGATATTCTCCACGGCGGTGTTCTGGGGAGCATGATACTTGTCCTTCTGGCTGAGTCCGCCTGGTGGTCTCACTCCGGCAAATGAGGGTCGTTGAGCCTGGGCACTTTCCAGCAGAGTTATCGCAATGATAGCCACGGCACAGCTAAGTTTCAGCATATTTGCGAGGCGAATTTCACTTTTTCGTTTACAAATCTCCCTCGCGATCTCGAATGGCGTTGTTAACTGGTCTCGTCTGCTCCGGCAACTGAGCGTAGACGGCTGGCAAGATTATTTAAATAAGAAGTGGCTCTCGCAGCCTCACTTTGAGTTGAGTCAGTTGAGAGTGCTTGCGGCTACCAAACAAGTCCAAGTGGGGCTTGAGCTGCGGCTTATCAAACGATGGGATCCGCCTATAATATAGACTCACTCACTCTCCTTTTACCTTCTCAGTGTTTTTGTGCGAAATCTGTAGAGTCATGTTAAGTATTGTTTCATTATTTTTCCCAATTTCCTTATTTGTTCTTACTTATTAAGAAATGCTATTGTCTTGCGGTATAATTATGCCCTTATATAAAGGTATTAGCTCTTCTAAGAATGTCGCTTAAAGCTATCCATCCAGTTCACGTGCCTTTTCACTTTAAACTATTGATATTTTATTGTTTATTTATTAGTGTTAATATTTACTTTGCGGTAAAATTCAAATTAAGTCGATAAGTGATTTGTTTTGCTCTTATGAAAGGTAATATAAATTTGGCTAAAAGAGAGAATTAATATATATTTATTTTTTGTAAGATCTCTGGCAGACACGAAGTCTGGTCTTTTTTGAAATTAGATATCCAAAAAATAAGAAGAATGATTAAATAACCATTTAACAATAAAATATTAAATATTTATTATTCATTAATAAATTCTATTTTGCTTAGTAAGTCACTCAAATATCTATTTCGAAAAATAAACTAAAAACTATAAAATTTCAAGTTCAATTATAGTTAAAGTTATATCTAGAATATTATACATTCTGATTTGTCTATGATATCAGAAAAATAAACAAAGTTATAAGTAAATGAGTGATCTAATAAAGATTGATATAGCCTGATTAATAATTATTTATTATAATTTATATTGGGAAATATCTTAAAATGTGCTCGATATTTTCTTACGCATTCGAGGGTAATTCACATTCGTCTCTCTTGGAATTTCGGTGCTTTCTTGTTTTTCATTGCGGTTGGGGCAATCCCATCGAAGCTTGCAATTATTTTTCGCCAGACGGGAGGTTCGTCATCGCATTGTGACGCGTGCGTCCTCCTGAAACCGGTTGTCACGCCTCCACTCCTCCCATTAACCCATTCCAGCCAAAAACCTTAAGTACCATATATCTTAACCCTAAATGATCGAATATTAGCAAGCAATTTTGTTGCTCTTTTTCTTTTTGGGCGAAGTGAATCACCGCATTGTCTGGCAGAAAAGAGAACGTTCTGGCTATGTTTACCCAAACATATTTTATTTATTTGCATTTTTTTGTCTGCTTACAATGGAGTGTATTTCGCGTGTGTTTATGTGCTGGCGAGAGAGATAGTGTCTGTTTACGTGTGTGTGTACCTGTGTCGTCATTTTGGATCGTCATGGGTTTTGGGGTTCTGGTTGCTGAGTTCTGGGTTTCGGGAATTCCGAACAGGCAGCTGGATCATACACTGAGGTGAAGAAAGTCATCTAAAAACAGAAAATAAACATCTTAGCAGATTTTTCACGATTTTTATAAAAATTAAAGCTAATTAAAACCGTATATTTTATGGCTTTAGCTAACGTTAACCTAGGTTAAGTATTTCTTTTTAAATAAAGCCACTTACCTCAGAGCTTGCCAATGGGGAAATTCCATCTAGAAACGTCGCACAATGGGGCGAGCAACACTCAGCTTGGCGGGACGAGCTGCAGCGGACACCGAACGACGAGAGGCCACTTGCTGGGCATTCCTCCTGTAGTTAGCCGCTCTTCTGGCGGCCACCAGGCGGGCCTGCTGCTCTGCAGGAATATCAGCGGCAGGTGGCAGATCGTTTCCAGTCGCATCCGGAGGGCCATAGACCTCGTCGGGAACAGCATTGGGAGCAGCATCCGGGGGTCCATAGACGGCATCTGGTGTGGGATCAGCGGCTGAGGGAGCAGCCTCATCGAAAGGCACTTCTGGCTTGAGTTCATCCGCCGAGGGATAGGGCGTCACGGCATCCACATCACCACCGTCCGCGGGAGCAGGAGCAACTTCCTGGCGAGCGGAATACCTCGAACGTCCACGGCTTAGACGCTGCGAGTACCGCTGGCGCTGTTGCTGGGCTTCGGAAACGGCCAACAGGCTGAGAGCCACCACCAGGAGGACTGCTTGGAACTTGGCCATTATTGGATGTGTCTCGCTCGGGATAGAATGAACCAGCGACTGATGACTTGGTGGACTTCCCGGTGGGCTTTTATAGGTAGGACTTGGGATGGGCAGCTGTTTAGTGTGCGTCGCATGGACCCAGCATAGGCATCGGCATCCTTTTTTGGACCTACGCTCTGACGTCGGCACACCACTATATTCTATAATCCATAGGCCATAGTCTCCATGATCGGCGGTGTCTGCGGCGTCTTTATGCGGCCACGACGTGACCAGAAAGAAGTAGCAGATGCAGAGGTCCGAGGTCTGGACAAGCCAATATTTATAGTTCCGCCATTAATCAGTCCAAAATCGGAGCGTGTGTTCCACCTCGATTCGGCCAATCGATCAACATTAAAATGCTCTTAAAGTGGCAGAAGGAGGTGGAATTAATGGCTGGCCCATAAATACTGGGTGAAGTTTAAGGATATCCATGTGGAATTGGGGGAAATCCATGTGAGTCTGGTGGTGGCGTTTCAGGAATGTGTAAGTTTTATATTTTTTGTACATTAAAGAAGTTTAATATTTAAGAATATTGAAAGTAAATTATAAAAGAAAACTAATTTCATAGAAATATTCAAAGGACTTGAAGTAATAATAAGATAAGATGGGTTTAGGTCTTAATTTCAAAGTATAAAATCATTACAGTATAAAATTCACTAAGGGATTATAACTAATAACATATTTAGATCTCATTTAAATCATTAATTTAAGAGTTTTCTTCTAGGTGAGCTGAAAATATTAAATGCCATTAAATAAAACTTGTAAATCTCTACATTACTTAGCTTTAGATTACCATTATGACTATCAAAGATATCTTTTCTACCACAAAAACTCCTTAAAGTACATTATAAATCTTGTTAGCACCTCCCCGACTTAGCCGTCATCTGTCATCTGATAATAAATGATATTATATCATCGTCAGTTCACAGCTCTTAATGAGAGGACAGGACGTGACATGAGACAGTCGTTGGGGGAGTTGTAGGCCCTGTCACTTGTTCCGACCTTGGGACTCACCTCAACGACAAATCGTTGATCGCATAAATATCGATTATAAGCGTTTAATCAAAAATTCTAACGCTCAAAGCTGACAATTCCAGCATAATGCAATTGACAACAACAGTTGTCGCCGTCGCTGTTGTCTTCGCTTACGATTTCGCTTTCAATTGGTCGGATATTGGATTGCGTCTCACGTAGGAAACGCATTTAATTTTCATAGAACATGGCGAATCGGACGTGGACGTGGACACCGGACGCCGGACATCGGACACTTGGGCGGTTGGGAAGCCACTGTAATGTGAGGGATGTGGCGGATGAGTCGCCGGCGGACGTGGCGGAGACCAGAAGCAAACGAAAAACAATGCAAAATAAATCATTAAGTGTGCGCCTAATCGATGTCGATGTCGATATAGAAGCTTCATGTCTATATTTCCCCCCGGGACGACTCTAGCTTCTTCGAGAACGTTGTATAAAAACCCGGCTCCATTGGCAGCTGGAATCAGTTGGGTCTAAATTCGGGCCGAGATCGAAAGTTCATTATGAAGTGGCTCGCACCAGTTATCCTTTGCCTGTGGGCACTAAATCTCGACCAGATCGAGGCCCGCCAGATCAGGATTAATCGTTATGCCGTCAGCGTGCAGGAGGATCAGGCAGCGCAAGCGGCTGTGGAGGTCAAGGCGGCTCCCTATCCCGCTGCGGGTTACCGTCCACAAGGTCGTTCCTTCTGGCTGCCGGGAGAAATCGAAGTTGAGGTGCAGGAAGTGCCAGCTGAGGGTTCAGGCTTAGGATCGGATCAGCTAACCACCACCACGGAACTGCCAGCGGATGATCTATCCACCAGCACCACGGATTCGGACTTGAGCACCACCACCAACTGGGATTCTGTGGACGCCACCACAACCACAGCTCCTCCTCCGGCCTTCGAGAGCCGTTCCGGACGTGCCTTTGAAAAGGCTCCCTATCCCCCAGCAGGCTACCGTCCAAGTCGAGCATTCCGACTGCCAACTGAGCAGAATCCAGAGGAGCAGCAGCAGATCTCCAATTCCTTGAAGAACAATTCAACTGACAGCAATGCCGATCATCCTGTTTGCGGGGTCAGCACTGATCCCCTGAAGCCCACGCCTCAGCCAGGATCCAAGGATGAACCCGATGCGGAGAGTGTGGTGTTCACCGCCAATCTGGGCCCTGCGGTTGTGGTGGCCAGAGCTCCGTCCTCCATTCCTGTGGCCATTCCTCTGCGTTCACAGCCACTGCTGCAGGCTCCAAGGCAGAGGGGATTTGTGTACACCACGCATGTGGAGCAGCGATGGTGAGGAATTCCAAGGGAATCATCGTAGCTTAAGTCCTGTTAACAGTTCAGTATTTATAGTTGCTTTTTTATGTGAGAAAATAAATGTTTTTAATTGTTATTTACCTTAAATATAAACTTTAAATGCAGTTTAAAATTTATATTAAGGGTAAGGAGGGTTCACAGAAATAGTCAGTATATTATTTGTGATAGACTCACAGCCTGCAATCGGTGTTAGTTAAAAAGTAAATATCCTTTTATGCTCTTCTACTGGTTTCTCCGTTTTTTAACATTTAAGACTCTTGAAAAGTTTTTATAGGTATACAAATTATAACGTCATCATTCTTATCATTTCCATCGACCGGAAGTTCTGGCACGTCTCAAACTTTGTTTGTCTAACGTCATTGAATGTTTTGTTAAATGTTGGTTGTGTTGTTTTCGGAGAAGGCGGAGCAACAAACACTTTTCTATCAAATTGCGACTGTGAAGCTTTCGGGGAGTGGAGTTCAAGTTTGGGTTCGAGTTCGAGTTCTACTTTCCGGCATCCGTATTAAATTTGACGTGCGGATGTGCAAAGTTTTAACCGTGGGACGTGCGTGGCATGCGGAAAGGCGTGAGGCGACTTTGGAGCTAGAGCTGCCATGTCTCCATTGCTGCCTCCTCCAGTCACCCTCTCATCCTTGCGGATTCAAATTGAATAACGAGTATGCGAGTGCGAGTGCCAGTGCTTTCTTTGTCGGCAGCGGAGAGGTTAGGGTGTTAGGGAGTGGCGAATGTGGATATGGATGTAGATGCGAAGCCGCCGGAGACCATTGAACCTGCGTTTCAACGAGAAGTACTTGTTGAGCGGGAGCGGAGTGCAGTTTTCGTTCTCGTGGCAGACATTTATGGCAATATTTCTGAATATTTTATATGAGAATTTCGTGGGTTCCGACGGGCATTCAAATGCAGAGACAGCGCCAATAAACGTTCATACAAAGTGCCTTATTTATGAACCGATTTTCTGTTGTCTAAACCAATTTTACATATCATTTAGGTATACAATTGAAACTTTCTAGAGTTTATTGGAAAGGTAACAACCAAGAAATTGTTTTCATAAATTCTAAGCTTATTTAAATTTTTTTTTTTCAGTAAGAAATTTACTCAAAAATTACTTGTAATCAAATCAAACAAGTAAAGGGAAAATATTTGATAATAGAAATTTTAATTCTTCTAATTTCTTGTTAAATGCAAAATACAAAAATATTTAAATAAAATAAAAGAATATTTTCCATATAAATAATTTTAAAGAAATAAAATTCCTTTTACATTCGTTTAAAAAATATTTTGCAGTATTTATTCGTAGAAAAAGGGTCCTTAAAAAGCCATTTCAGGAGTATTCGCAGTCAAGAAGCAACAAAGGACATTAACGAGAGTTGAAAACAAACTTTAACAGAGTCCGCGGCACAATCGCGTCGGGTTAATTGATTCACCCGACCACGCCCACCTCTACGTCCCTTTCTGGGCCGAGTCATCGCAAATTGTGCACGTAATTGACAATCAAAGGATCATCAAGGCTGGTGGGCACGATTTCCACGGAGTGCACCACCGGCTGCAAGCGGACATCGCTGTCAATGTGCGTGAAGCTGCCCAGCTGCAGGTCCAGCTCGTCATGAAGCTCGCCGTCATCCAGCAGGACGTACTCCGCCTCCGGCTCCACGAGGGCCAGCTCCACGGCGGCATTATTGTCGCCGGGTACCTGCGGCTGCTCGGCAATCGAGATGGTGGCATTGTCCTGGGAGAGGGATATGGCGACGTTGGGGGACGAAGAGTCCTTTTCCGCCGGACTGGCATCAATGGCAAACAGCCTGGTTGTGGCCGGAGTGGTGCTGCTTTCTGTGGTCGCACTAGCCTCCTCCTCCTTCTTCTCCTCCTCCTGAACCTTCTCCTGCTTCTGTTGCTCCTGCTCATTATCCTTGGGCTGCTCAGTTGTGGTTGGCTCATCGCCGGCCTTGTCCTCATCCTCGTCCTGCTCCTCCAGCTCCCGTTCGATTTCGTGGTGTCTCTTGGGCGGTGTGCTTAGTAGCAACAGCTTGCCGGACTTCTGGACAGTGGATGGCACATCCTCCTGCAAAGTTCCCGGAGCGGGATCAATCAGTATGCTGGCCTCCTCGTCGCGGCTGAGAGCGGGAGTGGCCAAAGTGCTTGTCTCCTCGGTGGTGGTGACGCCCTCCTCCTGCTGATCCAGGATAACCGCAGCGGTGGTGGCTTCTGGCAGCAGGGGATCTGGGCCCGGATTCCCCTCGTTACGGATAACGGCGGCCTGGACCGCAAAAAAGCCTAGCACGAGTACGAGTCCCTTTAACATGTTCGCTGGTCAATTTGCTGACGATTTGATGGCAATCAATTCCAGACGGGGCGTATTTATACGAGTAGGTCCGTAGGTTCTCCCCCTGTTCTCATTCCCATTCCCGTCCCATTCCGATTCCGAGCCCGAGTCCGATTCGGGAGCTGTCATAATTTTAGCCCTGAGCATTTAATTTGACGCGAAACTTCCGCAAACGGACCAAACCGGAAATGTAATTCCCCCAAATTCTCTCTCTCTCACTGAGTGTGTTTGCTTGGCTGTATCTGTGCGAAGGGGTGTTGTGTGTGTGGGTGTTGAGTGTGGCTGTGAGTGTGTGGCGGCATTGAAGGAGGCCAGAAAGGCCTGGGTCGTTACACCTTAAGCCCCACACGGCCAGCCCCCATTGACCGCAACGATGGCCAGAGTGCCAACCCCAAAAAGTCACTTTACATTTTCGTCTTCACCTCCGCCACACATACTGGGACTACAGTCTGGGCCAAAATAAAAGCAATTTGGAGTTTTTATACAATTCACTCAAATTTAATTTTTGAAATTTTAAGCTACAAAGTATAAAAATAATAATATTCTAAAAATCACTGAAGCTATCCTAAGGCGTAGTTATTCAAGAAAAATATAAATATATCTTTTATAAGATATATATATATAGATTAAGACTTAACCCAGATTCTCTATTATTATGACCACATCTGTATATATGTGGAATATGCCTCTGTGCGTATAGCCTGTGTAGTTTTGTCGGTTTAACTTTGTGATGAGCAAAGTTAGTGGCTTGACCGTGCCAGCTGTTGGACATGCTGGTCACGTTCTTCGGGTGACTTTGTTTTCGTCTTAAATGGGAAATGATAAAATTGAAAATAAATTCATACAAACACACTGACACTCGCAGGAAACAAATGTGTCTTGGGGGCAACAACAATAGCAACAGGCTGGTGGTGGCCCAGGCACAAGTTCGTTGATTGCCTGCTGACCCACAGAGAGTGGAATTTTTGCAGGCATAAAATGCACATCGGCGGTTGAAGGGTCAACTCGAAGAAATTGCACTTGTGCGTGGTTTAATTGGATTCCTGTGGTCCCTTGTTGACCAGGCAAAGTAAATACAACATTCTTGAGTTCCTGTGAATATTCTCATATTTTTTCTGTTGTTTAATTTTGAGATTAAGGGTCAATTTGGGAAGGAAACAAAGAAGTTTCTTAGTAATAAATTAATAATATTTATATATTCCTTGGAAAAGATGGGGTTCATCATCATGTTTTCTTACCTTTGATACGATTATTTCCAACTAAAATAAATAAAACACAACTTGATTTTGATGGTATTGTATTTATATATAAGTTTATTATCGAAGATTCAACACTACTTACGTTAAAAATATTGTACGTCTTATTTTTTGTCATTTTCTTATTGATTTCTGTCATTTTCATTTATTACTTATGTTGTTTTTCTTCGTTTCGTTTCGTTATTCTTCTTTTCTTTTTGTTGTTTTTTCTATAACGAAATTTCTGATTTCATAAAATGAATATGTGTCACGTTATATGTAGATATAGATGTATAATAATTGCATATGATCGATGGCTTGTACATGAAGAGTTGGGGGGAAATTGCGAACTGGCCTGGATATATATGTACTCGTATTCGATTTGATAACTCTATGGTTTTATATATAGTTTAGTTTAGTTGGGAGGCTAGTCCACGATCGATATCGCTGCCACTGAGGAGTGGGCATCGAGATATGTGTGCTTCGTTTAGATACAAGATACAAGATACAATTAGTTAAGTACAATTATGATAATTATTGTTCAACGTTTATGCAAATGTTGTGGAGTTCATAGAATTAGAGTTCGTTTCCGCCGATTTCACTTTAGATGGTATATGATATATCCTGTGTGAAAGACACACGTAAAAAAGGAATTTACGTCTACTTACAAGATAAATAAAGTTCTTTTCTTTTGGTTTGTGCTTCGTTATTTTTGTATTATTTTTATTACGCTTCTTTTTTTTTCAAAAAATCTACTTTGTTTTAATGCTTCCCATCGTCCAGCTAAACCTACCAAACTAATCCGTTTCCATAGCCATCGGGAAGCACGAAATGCTCACTCATCTACCACTATCTAACCCTCTTTGCTAAATTAACTAAGTCGTATCTCGATAGGACTAATAAGTATCTCTAAAAATCTGTCTATTTTCGCCATATATTCGTAGAAGGTAAAATGAAACGATTCGAAACATTCGGTTGCCTGCTTTTGGGCTTAGCCGAGAAACATTAAATAATATTATAAAAATATCTGCATCTTGGCATAAGACTTTCCGGATTCAATCTTAGCTAATTGACAAGATTAAGTAATTATTGCACATATCGAAATGTATTGTAGAACTTGTACAAAGCTTAGTAGCTAAAAACAAACAGAGTTTAATGACAACTAATACTTTTTGTTTGTTAAAAAATAGAGATAATAATAAGATAGATCCACTACTGGCAAAACATATACAATTATGGGATAGTTCCCTCGAACTGAACCTCGTTCTAGGCAATGTTATGAACCTTGGCCGACAGACAATTGTGCACCACAAAGACCACCGGCTTGGGACAGCACTCCATGTCCAGTTCCTGAATTGAAAATGATTATTTCTTATTATTATATATTCAAGTATATATTGAGTTCAAGGGACTCACAATCTCTCCATCCTCGCCAAAGTCCAGATACAACATTCTGTTGCCATCGTCCGCGGAGCCCTTCAGCTTGTCAAAGGCAAACTGCCAGAGTTGCGTCTTGGTGGTGGCCACCGCCGCCGTTGGCGTTGTTGGGGCGAATCCTCCGCAATCGTAGAGGAAGAAGCCACGATTTATGTGCACAACCAATTGACACTGCCGGCCCTGGAACAGGCAGCGGAAGGAGAACTCCCTCTGGTAGTTGACCGCCTGGTGGGAGCCTTGAACGAGGGCTCGGGCCCAGGCGGCCATGTCGCGGTGCGTCTCCGAGCGCAGCCAATAGACGAGCACGCCGCGGGCGGTGCCACAGCGAACGCAGAACACCGTGGTCTGCTGGCCCTGCCAAAGGATACAACAAGTCGTACTATATATTTTTCGGGTGTAGTTTTCGCACTCACATTTAGGGAGGAATTGTTGCCGGCTCCGGCGAGACGTGTCGTGGCCAGGGCATAGATCTCCAGCGGACGACTCCAGGCCTCCACCGACCAGGGTGCACTCTCGTATATCCGAAACTCTCGCTCCGTCACCGCCACAAAGATGGGCAGCCACTTGTCGCTCTCATCGGAGCTTTCCGAACTGGAACGACCGCTGGGCTGTTGAAGGAACAAAAAATAAAATTAAATATATAAAGTCTAAAATCAAGCTTTTATAATGCTTCAATATATCCCTCAATTATTTTGCCTAATGGCTTTTCTATTGCTGCTTGGGATTTGGGGTCAACTTACACTTACCAGCTCGCCGGCCACGCCGCTGTTTGAGGTTCCGCTACCCCCACTAGCTGCTCCGCCTCCGGCGCTCCCTGAGCTGCCCCCTCCTCCGCCGCCACCGCCACCGCTCATCCGCTTGCTCAGCCAGCCGATGTGCTTCAGTTCGCCAATGAGATTGGTCAGAGCCCGATTGGCCTCGGCCAGAGCCCGCTGCGTGCTGCTGCCCATGGCCGAGTGGAGCGCATTGAACCAGACGAGGGCCTCCGCCGAGTCCGACGCCCGCAGGATGCACGAGTGCACGCCGTCCGGCGAGTGCAGCTCGAAGCAGCGGTTCTCTGTGGGGAAAACAGAAGAATATATATATACATTATTTTTCAGATATTATATTCAGAGCATCTTATCTAAGGGGTGAAAACTTACCCGGGTCAATGTACTTGAGATTTCTGGCCAAATGCGTTAGCTGCAGCGGTATATATCGCGTATCCGCCCGAGGTGTTGTCTTGGGGGCAGGCGGCGAGGTGGGAACGCCCGGACCCAGCGGACAGAGAAAGGCCCGCTGGAGCTCCCAGCCCACCTCGGAGATGATGCTCGCCTTCCGAAAGTAGGGCGTCACTTCTCGCAGGAATTTAACTGCAGAAAAAACAAGAGAAAAGAAAAAACCCAAGAGGGATTCGAGCATAAACATCGATGCAAATCAAACGGTATAGCATCGCATGAATATGGATGCAGGCCGAAATGTGTGTGTGTTGGTATCATCAGCAAAACACTAGCACACACAGCATTCAATCAGTCTCGGACTAGGGAGCGGGAGAAGAGAGACTCCATCGGCTTGGCCGATGTGGCTGTCTGGAGTTCTTGTTGTGGAAGTCTTGGCAAAGGCTGCGGCATAAATTCATTAGAGTTTCCGCTCCATTTTTATTCGATTTGCACACCCAAAGAACCCGACTAGCGACAAACTCTTGGGCACAGTGGAATAATTAAAGAGAATGAGGGTTAAATTTAATTCTCTTTAAGGAGTCAAAGTTTAAAGACAATTAATAATTCTATGTTTTGATAGCCATACTATTATTAAAATAAAACACATCAGGAAATCATTTATTATTACTCATTACTCGTTACGCCAATAATATATTTTCTAAGCTAATCTAATCTTTTGCTGGCTGTTTTTCTTTTTTTTATGCATCAATTTGTAAACATCTCACTGAATTCGCAATGTGATTCATTTATAATGACATTAGCATGGCTGAGCTGGCTCACCACTGTGCAACTTCTATGCAAATGCTGATGGCGATGCCAGGTGCCTGGGGCAGGGGGAACTCTCGATGTCTCCCCACTTAGAGACGTACATTTGAGTGGCGAACCCCAGAAGCCAGAAGCCGGAACCCAGACCCAAGCCGAGGCCCAACCCATTGGCCCTGCTCGGAATTCCGCCCACAACATTTGCACAATTTCCGTTTGCTGTTGTCGTTGTTGTTTCTCTTATCATTGTTGTTGTTGTTGTTGTTGCGACGTCGTTTGCCATTCGAGTGATTTGGAAATTCAATTTTCACACTTAATGCCATCGGCCGCCGACGGTTGGCGGCGGTTTGTCCAACTCAATTCGTGTGTTTAGCTCAACTAATTAGAGCGGACGACCACACGGCGTATGGGTTATATAGTATATCGCCCGCCCCACTTGCTAATTGCTTGGCATTTACGTACACTAAAGGGTTAGTAGGAAGCCGCCACGGCTCTCCAACTCTTCCCCAAAGCCTAAGCCGCCATTCTCCTGGAGCTGAGCTAACATTTGCATTCACAAATATGCAACCGACGACGACAAACAGGCAGGGAAAATAAAAAAATTGTTGCATAGCGGCAGGCGCAAAGTCTGATGAAGCTTGTGAAGGAATAATCAGTTGCGAGGATAAGGATACCCTGGCATTTAAAGTAGACAAAATAGTAATAAGAGCCACAAGTTTATTATAAAATTTATATAGGAGCTTTGCTGTGCTTACATTGTTTCCCGCAATAGTATTTAAACTTGGCGAACATTACGTATACGTACGTATTTTCAGAGATGTTTTTAAAAGTGAGTTTTTTTTATCAAAATTCTATCACTTGTTACGTCCCCAAAAATAAAGTTATATACCTTCAGCAAAGAGTATCAAAAATCCGGCCGGTATAGCCATAAAGTGGGCGGTGGTAGATTTCGGAGTGGACTGTCGAGTAAACAAAACCCAAAACGACAAACGAGAAAACGCAACTGGCAGCAGCGGCAAAAGTTTAGATGCAACAGCAAAAACAACAATAACAACTGTAATAAGTTGTGCAAATTTTTGCATTTAAGTGTAAATAAAGTTGCCCAGTTCACGGTGTTTGTATATGTGTGTGTGAGTGTTCGTGTTTGTGTGCTAAAAAACAATCCTGGAAAAATAAACAAGTTATGGAAAAGTTAGCTAAAAAGCACCACAGGCCACAATTGTTAGCTGCTTAAGTATGAATATTTTTCGCTCTGGCATTTTTCAAATAAATATGGTATTACAAACATTCCACTGAAGATTAAACTCAAGGATTTGCCTAGTGCTTACAACATGTGAGCTAAATAAATACAGCTAAAAAATTGTGCATAAGGCAATTTAACAGAAGCTTTTAAACATTTTGTAAGCGAAATTTTCACTGAAATTTGTGAATATTTCACTGAAGTATTTACCTAACCTTTGCTTAATTGTGGTTCATTATTTAGGGTTAAAATTTGATAGTTAAGAAGGCAAAAGACACTTGAGATTACAAATTTTTCATGTAGCTGAAGATAATTACATAACATATTCAATTTATGAGCAGCTTCTTTGAATAAATCTCTTCAATAATTTCTAAAAAATCAAATTTAAATGTAATTTGCAATACAAAATTATTAATATGCAAACTTAACTTTCTTTAAGCTTTAAAATCTCCCTCTAGTTAAATAAAAGCTTGCTCCTAAGCTCTTAAACCATGTTACAAAATGTAATTTAATTTTATTTAACTCTGGACTCCCTCCTACTAAGCGATCTTTACGATAATATTATTACTCAAAACGCATTCATTTGGCCCTGGCTCTGCCCACATTACCCCACTTAATTCACAGTCAGGCCAAAGAGAAAAAAACAACTTTTTACACCTTTGCCGACAAAAGGAAATCCTGCAAATCCGGCAATGTTACTCGCACTCCCAAGCCACCCCTCCCGAAAAGCATAAATAAAAGGGGCAAGCCGGAGTATAGTGGGCGTGGCCGGTTGGTTGGAATATGATATCAACAGCAGGCGGCATTCGGAATTCGGCAAATCGTGCGTTAAAACAAACTTTGCGCAAAACTTTTGCGAGTAAAATCTCACGCGCTCCTGGTGAGGAAGTGGTGGGCAGGTTGGCTAAGTAGGGGCCACTGGTGTGGACCCACTAGCCTGGTGGTTCTAAACACTTGAAATAATAAAGTGTTACCAAGAGAATATAGCGGAATACATAATATAACTCTTTAATTGAAAAAAAAAATACAAAAATGTATTGTCTTGAACAAGATTTTTATTTTCCTAAGGGTTAAATTATGAACTAAAATATAGTATAGGCTCTCGCATTTTCTCCAAGTGCTCAGGGTCCACAAATGTGTGCCAAGCTGTAAAAACCATTGCTAATGGACTTCTGGGAGGCGGCGAGCAAAGCCCAACTGTCGTCGCCTCCGTCGCCATCTGCGGAATCTGTCGCTGACATTTGGCAGTCGGAGTTGGAATCCAGTTGCCGGGAATCCCATTCCGATTTTCCCCCTGCCTCCTGGCTTATTTAAATTACAATGAGACGGCTGCCTGGGCGCAAATACTTTGGGCCAAAGTTGTGCGCACAGCAGAGGCAGCAGCGGCCAGCGGAGCTTGGCAAACAACTTGGCCAACTTGTAAATTGAAGTTCGAATCAAGAGCTGGCCCCGAGAACTCACTGGGCAAAAAGGGGTTACGGGCAGGGAGAGGTGCGAGTCCTGGGCTGTTAAGCATGTCGTCGCCCATTCATGGCCAAAGGCTTTTGAAATTGTGATTACATTTGCGCCACTTTGCGTGCTTATAGATCTGGGCCACTTTAATTTAATGAACACACCGGTTGAAATTATGAAAACGACCGCAAACCGTAAGCCGAAAGCCGAAAATCCAAATGCTCGCTCAACAAAGCGAGCAACGATGATGATGATGGCTCACTTACGCAGCGGAGTAACTCGACTAATTGATTGGCTTGGCTGTTAATACTCGCAATCGCCAGAGAGGAATGCGGCTCCTATAAATATGCGTAATTTTCCTAATGAGGAAGGAGCCCTGTAGAAAATATGGGCAGTTGTGGTTGATTAATGGCAGGATGTATTTGATAAGTAGTAAAAGGGTTGGAAATTTAAATTTTAAATTGAATTTATAAATTTAGTTGAACATTTTTATGTAACTTTTAGCAACTACTAAAGTTCTAAAGAAAAGTAAACTCAAGGAAACATTATTTCATTCTTATTTTAATTAAAATATATAGGCATCTCTGGCATTCCTCAATTTCCTAATTTAATATTCTACAAATGCAAGTTAGTGTACACGATATTCGTAGCTCTCATAAAGAAATTCCCCGAAAATAGTTTAGCCACCATAATTGGCTTCCAATAATAAATTTCTTGGCCCAGAAAAGGCAGCGAAATGGATCAAGCTCCGTCAGCCGCAGCTCCCACATGGACATGGACATGTGCCGAGCCGAAATTAAATGCGAGTCAGAGACTCCGCCGCTCCACAGCTCCGCACAGCTCCGAGCTGCGTGGCATGCGAGGCACGTTGACAACGATGACGTGAGTCTTGGAGGGCTAAAGCCCGAGATGGAAGTGAAGTTTTGGGGGGAGGGCAGGCAGGGACAGTCGGCCTGGCAGGTTGTTGATATTAAAGCGACATTAACATTGAGCTTGATGGCTGCGTTGATGGGCCACGATACGTTTTTAAATGCGCAAAAAATTGTCATACATTCGGATTCGCACTGTACACCGTGCATCTGGGATCGGGGTGAGTTATCAAAATACACAACCTTGCGACCGTTACTGAATTCTGATCGGCGGAGAATCGGCGGGAATCGCAGTCGCCGCATAAATAGCGGAGCACCCACAGCAGCCGGGCACAAACCGTTAGCACTCGTCGTCGTCCGGTACTCAATATGATGAAGCGGAACCAACCCATCCTGATCCTGGCCCTCGGCCTGCTGGCCATCTCCGCCATTTCGGCGATGCCGCAGCGAAGCCGGGCCAAGAGCCAGCGCCAGGTGGAGTACTCATCCACCCCGTATCCGGCTGCCGGCTTCCGTCCCAGGGTTCCCTTCAATCTGCCCGGTGAGGTGCAGCCCAAACTGGAGGCCGAACCCCTGGCCACCACCCCGACCTCGACCATTCCCAGCGATGTGGAGACCCTGGAGAACACCGAACCCCTGAGCACCACGGAGCAGCTGCAGCCGGAAACGGAAGTGGCAGCAGAAGCGGAGACTGAAGCGGATTTGGAGGTGGCCATCCGCACGCCCGCCAACACTTACGGCGCCCCCGGAGAGCAGGATCCCCTAGAGCCCGACACCGTGGTGGTGGTGGCCCAGGAGCCGGCCCGTGACTTTCAGCCACCCACGCTCGAGGCTGTCGAGGACTTTGCCGCCGATGGTGCTGTTGCTGCTGACGGCCAGCAGCCTGTTGCTGATGTCCCTGCCCTGCAGGCCGAGCAGGAGTTGATTCCGGAGGCGGAGGTCAAGGCCGTTACCCCGGCGGGAACCTACGGACCACCTGCTGCTACCTATGGAGTGCCGGAGCTGGGTGAGCCCGAGAACGAGCTGGATCTGGAGGAGTCGCAGGTGGAGCTGGTCGAGGAGGCAGCGGCGGAGGAGGCTCTGACCAACGAACTGGCCAGTGGTCGCCTAATCCTTTTGCCTTTGGGAGCCCGGGGAGCGCAGTTTGGTCGCCTCGTCTTGGCCGTGGAGCAGCCACGTCGACGAATGAGGAGCGAGCGCCTGAGAAGGATCTAGGGAATTCATTCAACTGTCTAAAAACAGTGGAAAATTGGAAAATTCAGGATAAAGGGAAACAAAATATACATATCTACTTGACATGAAAATAATGCTGCTTTTTACTTGAAGTTTTTATTGTCAATCATTGTCATTTTGGGACCGGTTTCTTTTATATATTCTTGAAGTGGTTCATTTTCTGGGTATTTTATGAATCTCTAGAGTTGAATAATATTTAGGGATTCACAAAGATAACAATAACAGCTTCCATCAATATGGAAAATTGCAATTGATTAAAGATATATACAAATTATCCCAATGAAATGAAGCATCTATAATTTTCCTCCTTGAGTTGACAATACGAAAACCGTTTAGCCAATTCATGAACTCCAACAGAGAGATCACTGCTGGACTCTTCAGATATTACCTAACATAAAGGCAATAATTGAACTGATTGTTTACCTGGAGGAGCAGCAGCAGCAGCTGGTGCCCAGGAAATGTGTGTGTCAAGGAAATGAAATTGGCTGTGTCAGAGAGGGGAAACCCCACCCGCATCCTTATGCCCCATTTCCCCCTTGCCCCAATATCCTTCATCTCGCCAAGGAAGTTGTTTCAGCAAAATTGTCGTGCACGGTTCATTGCATTGTTTATGCCAAATGGTTTGGCTTGTGATTGGGTCACGCCCACAGGATGCACACACACACAGAGACACCAGGCCCACATGTGTGTCCTGCTCTCGCTGTATGTGTCTGTGTGTGTGCAAGGACAACGCAGAGATACACCCATACATCGCCTAATTGATGCTTACTATTGTTTATTGTGTTTTGTGCGAGGCAGTGCAGAGCAAAGCAAAACAGCAATGGAACTGAACCGAACCGAACTGAACTCTGAATGGAGATGAACCGGAAACGATGCTCGAACTTTGGCCGAGCACTTTGATTAGGCATTGTCCTCTGTCTCTCTGTTCGCCGTGTGTGTCCCTGATTATGGTTACGATGATGATGCGTCCTGGTGTGATTACGTACTTGTGTGGGTTGTTATTAGATCAGGTCTGTGGAAAATGCAAAGGCGTTTTTAAATGCTTGAATGGGGAATATTTGCTTATGCAGCGTGTCCATGCAGATATTGGGTAATCAGTGAAACGTCCAAAAGTTGGAATTAAGTCAATTGGAAGATGTTTTTGGGAAATATTTAATAAAAGAAAGAAGGGAACGGATTTTCCTTAACCTTTATCAAAGCAGATACTAGATAACTCTGCTTAAGCCGAGAATCAATTAATTATTCAAGCATCATCCATCAAAACTTGTATTGACATTCTCCAAGGGGAATCCTTAAGATTATGTGTCTGGCAAACGCAGATAATTATTTTTCTTTTCTATTTGTACCTCTTGTACCGCTTTCATCACCTATAACCCTTGCCTTATTTATGTCTTTCCGCTTCTGCTTGTCAGCCACTCAGACAGGCAGTTGAGGATGCAGTGCGTAGCATCCGATTCCGGCATTCGCAGCGTCCCCAGCATCCCCAGCATCCCCAGCATCCTGACATCCCATCATCCCAACCTTACCCAACCTGAAACATTTTCGCTTTTTGCCACTCGACAGGAGTGGCAGTGCCACCCGCAACAGGCGACTATGTATTTTTGGGCCATTTGATCAAATGGAAAGAAAACTTTTCTCATTACTCATTGCCAAGCCGGGGCAAACAAGCCAGGCAACGAACGAGCCAACCAAACAGCCAGCCAACCCGCCAGCCAACAAACCAACCAACCAGCCAACAAACCAGCGCAACTAACGGCAGTCAACAGCTAACAGTCAACATGAGGGGCGGTGGGGGGAAGCGGCGCTTTGGCCAGTGGATGCTGGTGGGGATTTACATGGGAACCCAGCTGCAACAGTGGCAACATCAGTGGCAGTAACTCGCATGTTTTGCTGAGTAATCCCACGTATGTATTTGCACTAAAACCCTCTGTTCCGCCTTTCCAGCTCGCTACTCCAATACTCCGCGACGCCACTGCACTCCGCAGCTCCAATGCTCCAATGCTCTACCATGGGACGGATGCCACAACAAGGGGACAAAAAAGAATCCCCTCTGTCAGTCAATTAATCACGGTTGAACAAGTTTGTAAAAGATTATCTGTGCTGCTGTAGGTGCGGGCGGGGAACGGAGCATAGAATCAAAGACACAATTTATCACAAAAAAACAAGTGGCAGATAGCATTTTTGTATTTTATGGTTGCTAGCTACTAAGGGGAATCTGTATTCCGAGATGGATATTGCGTCATTCATAGTTGGGGATTACAATTAAAACTTTTCTATTTAAAATGTTGAGTTTTGTTTGTGATTTATTTGGAGAAGTTGGATTAAAGGTATTTATTTGATTTAAATAAGGAGAAGATTAAGATATTCTCTAGATTATCTCAGGAGTGAATTCCCTAAAAAAAAGTCAATAAATTTAAATATATATTTTTATATCCCGTTTTAGCTCATAAATTCCACTGTGCCCAACTATTGGCCATGTGGCTCATAGTTTACTTGTTAGTTTGACTCGCGTTTTTTAAGCCCTCGTCCACTTTTTCCAAGCACTCCACCTAGCCCACTTTGTGTGTGCAAAATGTTTTACGCAAATAGCAATTTGACATCCCGGTGGCACTTTGGCCAGTAACGAATGAATCATCGAACTTACCTTCCAGATCCACAACGCGACCGGATCGCTTTAGAGCTCGGACCGCCTCGTCGTGGGTGGCGTCACGGAGCTCCTCCCCGTTGACCGTGAGTATGGCGTCGCCTACGTAGAGACCCTTGGCCTGGTCGGCGGCCATGCCACGGAAGATTTTCGAGATGAGGATGGGCATACGGTTCTCGCGACCGCCCTTGATGGAGATGCCCAGGCCATTGTTGTCCGACTTGATGATGCGAACGTGCCGCTTCTGGTTGGCCACATGGTCAGGTACGTCGCACATATCCATGCCGCCTCCGTCGCCGGCATTGTTGTTGTTGTTCAGGCAGGGATCACGGTTGTCCCCGTTGTTGTCGTTGCTCCCGGAGCCATCTAGCTCGGTGTCCTGCATGCCCTGTAGGGAGGCGGAGCTGGGCAGAGTGCCGTTCTGGCCAGATCCACCAGCTCCGCCTCCGCCGGCTCCACCGCCACCTCCGCCGCTGTGATTGCTCCTGCAGGATAAATTAGTCCGAAAATTATACATTACAAAATTTTAAATTAAATATTTTGTTTTAGGACTCACCCTAAGGTTCCATTTAGCGTGGTAGATTGTCCATCGTTGGTTTGCTGTGCCGCCTCGCAGGACTCATCCAGACTGACGGCCAGAAAGTCCGTCTCTAGCGTGACCAGGACGCGATACCAGGCACCGCGTACCCGTGTTTCCAAATTGCCACACCGCATCCCCGAGGGCGAGGGCGAGTGCTGCTGAGGAATGGGCTGCTGGGCCGCTGGCGGAGTCCGCCCCAGGCTCGAGGATTCCACCATGATGCCTCTCTCTCTCTCTCTCTGTCACTTCGATTGCAGGATGCCAAGATATATGGTTCTACATGTCAACCGCCAGAGGGTACTAAATGAATAAAAGATATATGGGTTTTATTAATACTTAAAGGTTTTTCAATGAAGAAAATGTATTTATAAGATAAGCAGACAAATTAGTGTTTTGTGGTCTCCATTTAAAATTATAAAAAATATTTATATATATTTAAAACAAACTAAATGTAATCTCCTCTTTAACATCATGTAATTCTTGTTTGAAAATATGGTATCCGAGCTTAGCATAATTTATTGGTTATAAATTTATTAGTATGCCGGCTATAATTAAGAACTTGACAGTTTAACGGATGTGGCGTTGTGTAAAACTAATTGGAAAAAGATATGCAACGCGCACAGATAGTTATTTATAGCTTATTTAAATGAATAATTCAATTTAGTTGATCAACTTCTTTGTACTTTTCCACAATCATTTAGATGACATCGAAATTTAAACATTTTGCCTTGGAGTCTCAATCGAATCTCTATTTAACTGAGACATGCGGATGACACGAGTTGTTGTTGGCAATAAGCGGATATCAAATTAAACGTCCGGCATGCGGAGGACAAACACTGTCACATACATACAGACATATGCAAAGCGGAAGCCAGGACATTTGTCATTGTTTTGCCAGTCCAGGATTTATTGCATTCTCCGACAAGACAGGGGGAGAGTCAGAGCCGCAGCCGGAGTCACCGCCACCATGTGGCAATGGGAGTGGGAATGCAAAAAGCCGTGGCATTTGGGCCACACATCCTTCCATATCCGGCCACATCCTTCCACACTCACACACAAAGCACACATCCTGGCACATCCTTGGCAGGCTACAGTGCAACAGTTCCCCGCCCGGAGCTCTGCAATTACGCATCTTGTCGCCGCCGTGGGACTTTTTTCTATGATTTTCTATTTGACAAGTTGCCACTCTCCCAGGAGCCAGAGTCCTGCCGGCGATGGCGGCGTGACACGACCACAGATCGGGAAGCTTAGGCAGTTTCAGGGAGAGTAGGGAGCGAGCAGGAGGAGCATCGAATTCGATTTCGTGCTCACGCTCTCAACCGGAAAAGGACTGCTCCAGTCAGACACATCCTGTTTCTGGGATTGTGATTGCGCTGGCGTCTGTGTGAGTGCCATTTGTATGTACATTTCCGCTACGATTCAGCAGGAAGTAATTTTGCCGCAGCTCCTGCTCCTTCAGATCCTTGTGCCGCTGTTGCCACTGTTGCCACTGTTGCCACTGTTGCTGCTTCTGCCGTCAGCAAGTCTGTTGACTTTGCAATTTATTGTGCAACATTTGTAATTATTATTGCAATGCCGCAGCAGCTCAAGGCCCCATCCGAAGACTTGGCAAAAATGTATATAAAACTTTTCCAAGTGTGTGACTGCTTGAGTCGAAGGACGAAGGATGAAGGCGAAGGCGAGGACGAAGGCGCTGGCAATGTTGTCATCAACACGCTCATAATTGTAAGTAAACACAACCAAACAAAACACCAGCCA